CCCCCGCGCGGACGTTAGGCAGGCCGAGCGGCGCCCTGATAGTTGCCTAACCGGTCGGGTCCTGGTGCTCGGCACGGAGGAGGAGACCGGCTCCCTGCAGCCCGCGCGCGCAGCCGTGGCTCAGCTAAATCCCGGCGAAGCTCTCTCACTTACCTGAGATGAATGCCTCGGTGGGGGCTTAGCAGACGGCGCAACCGGAGCCCAGCCCTGGCGCAGCACCCCGCCGGAGCTAGGCCCACCGTGCGGACTGGAAATTGCTTGACTCGCACTTCGCGAAAGTCCTCCCTCGGCTTCACTTCTTGGCAAAGGTCTGGCCGTGCTTGTAAAAAGGGTCCGAAGACGTCCCAAATATCTATGCGATGGCGACTGCTGGCGAAAGTCGAGCCGGCCCCTGCCTCCCACTTCTTCCGGGAGAGAGAAAATCTTCAGGGAGACCAGCCCTGCCAAAAACAGAAGCAAACAGTTTTTTTAAAAGGGACTTTAAAACCGTGGCATGCACATTACAATGGACAAGTACATAAAATCCCCGTAAAAGAAAAAACACTCATGTACTGTTTTCAGTAAAGGCTATTAAGAAGTATAAAAGGAGGGTGGGAGGACAACTAAAAAAATCAGCAACATAACAAACTTAAGAACAAAAATATACAACAACACAAATACATCTATGCATGGGTATTTTTGAAAAGAGAAATACACATAATCAGGCAATACGAGAAATGCATAGGCTTAACGTAACGTACACATTTTCCTTGTTAAAATTATTACACATTTGCGTGGAGCTGGCTGCGGCTGCGCGGCCTCTGCTGCGGCGACCTTGGCATGTTTCCGGATCCCTGCACAGAGACCCTGGTGCGCGCAGAGCGGCGCAGAGGTGTCGTCGGGGAGCGGGAGCGGAAGGCCCCACTCATAGCGACCTGCATGCTGTAATTGAGGGCCACCCTCGGGACCCGGGCCCGTCATAATACGCCCGCTCTCATCCGCGCGGGGAGAATACACGGCCAAAATTTTAATTTGCAAGATTAATAATTGAGTCTCTCTGTGACGTTTGGCTAGGGCGCGCAGCGGGGGTATTGTCCTGTGGACTCTTAAAAAGTAGGGGGAAAAAGTGTCTCCTTTTAATTTTTTTTTCTTGGGAGATGTCCTGCGGCGCTTGTTTATTTTGGGTAAATGAATTCAATTTACGCCATTTTCAGCGAGAGCACGCCTTGCTGCAGCAGGCCCTGTGCAGGGTGAGGAAGGGAAGGGCAGGAGAGGAGAGGAGAGGAGGGGCTCTGTTAATGCACGTATCGATCGGGAGCGCCGCGCGGTGGGAGGGGGAGGGGTGGGTAATGTGTGAGTAGGGAGGCGGACCCTCGTTGCCAGCAGCAGTAGCAGAGAGAGAGAGGGAGAGAGAGATGGCGGTGGAATCTTTGATTTTGTTTGCTCTTCTCGTTGGAAGAAACAACTAACTAGACTTGCCAGGCAAGCCGGGGAGAGGCAAGGGCCCAGCGGCGGCCCCAGCAGCCGCGCCCGAGTACGGCTGGGCGGGAAAAAGAGCAAAAGGCTTCTGCTTCCTGATGAGAACGCCCTGCCAGCCCAGCCCCACCCTCACTGTGCGCTCACGTGCCAGCTCAAATTATTTTTTCCCTCTGCGGAAAGCTTCAGGAGGCCGCGGGCGCGGCGCAGCGTGAGGCCAAAGGGAGGCACCGCCATCAGCCCGCCGACACTGCGGAGTTGGGTTCTACTGCTACCACTTGAAACTGGGAACTTCCGCGAACGCTCGGGCTGCACCCACCCGCCGACTCTGAAGTAGATGAGAGAGAAAAATAAAGCCAAAATAAAGAAAAGTAAAGCGGATCTTTTGTGGTCCAAGGGTTGACACAGCCGCCGGAGCAAAAATGATTCAAGAGGGCGAAATGGCGGACTCATCTTTGACTTTCGCAGAGCTGTCGTTGGAGCTCTCTGGCATCAGTGAAGGGTTGGAGTGGACGGGTACGGAGATGGTGGAGGGTGGGGCTGGGGTGGGGCTGGGTGGCGCAGTGAGCCGGGGACGGCCGCAGCGCCGCAGCGCGCAGGGTGTCATATACGGTGCAAGGCATTGACTGTGGCGTTGGTCAGGTCTGCATCGAGCTGCTGCCCGCCCACCACCCTTGCAGCTCCCCCGCCCCGCCCTGTCAAAGTCCTCGCGCCCGGGCTGCAGTGGGGGAGCCAGCCCGGCGGCGGCCGGAGCCAGGGGGTGGCAGCGCGGCGAGCTTCTGCTGCATCGCCATCGCCACCCCTCTGCAGGCGGCAGGGGAAGCTGAAGCTGGGCACGCGCGACGACAGAATATTTCGCGAAATATTGAGGGGAGGAGCAAGAGGGAATAGGGGCTTCAATGTCGGTCCTTTTATTTTTGGACTTTGATGAACTTTTGATAACAGGATTTCGATCATGAACCTCAGTGTGAAACTTCTGTGAACTTTGGATAAATAACCTCAGTGACGCGACCGGGACTCTGACTAAAGTAGGAAAATGAAAAGCATGAGTAGGGTATACAAAAGCAGCCCTTGTGCAGTGGCCCGGGGAGGATGCAGAGTGCAGAGCGAGTAGGCGAGAGAGGGGGTGTCGAGAGAAAGACAGAGAGGGAGAGAAACATGACCTGACCTGGATCTAGGCAGCACCCGGGCGGGGCGGGGGGACTTGAAGAGGGTCTGCAACACTTCCGAGAGGATGAGTCCCTGGTTAAGCCGAGGCGACTTTGCCGCCGCCGCCCTGCTCGCACATGCATCTGGGTAGTTCTCACCACAAGCACCGCCGTTGGTACCCCCCCATCCCATCCCGCCATCCACCCCCCAACCACCCGTCTTGAACGCCCCCTTGAGCGCACCCCGGATGTGTGCAGCACGAAAAGTAGGTCGCAGTTTGTTGACCGAAGGGCGAGGACGAGCAAGTCCATTTGTTCGGAGCTGAATGAACAGAAACAGGTGTGCGATTCACGTTCGGCATGAAAATGCAGACTGCGGCACATGGGTAAAGGCGAGGGTAGAGGGATGTTTCTAAACTCGGGTTACGACCGATGCAATAATCAGCCGGAGAGTTTTCAACAACAACACCCAGCAGTATGAATAAAGTATGAAAACAGGTACGAGTAGCGGGGGGCGGGAGGGCGCGCGCGGTGCGCGGGGACGCGGGCTAGCGGGTCACAAGGTCGTTCCTCTCCCGGCGCCGTGCTCCGCTGCGACTGGCGCGGCTCGGCAAGGCCCGGCTGCACTGCACTGTTACAGCATGACTTGCGCGCGCGACCAAAATTTACAGCAGCGCGCCCGGGACGCGACAGTAATTCTGTTTTTGTTTTGTTGCTTCTCTTGTATTCTTTCAGGGAAGATATCGCGCTCTATCTCTTAAGGGTTGTTTTAATGCGCGAACGAACCACGGTGGTGGCCTCACGGCTCGCGCGGGCCAACTGCCGTATACAACCAAACTTGGACTGCACGGTTTTTGTTTGCGTTTTCTCCATTTGCTTTTTTAAACTTCATTTTTTTGGTGGGTGGGTAAGCTTTACCGGGGATAGGGCGGGCAGAGAAAAAGAGAAAAGAACAGCAGTTGTCGCACCGAGCACCAGCACAATAGGAAAAAGGTCACAGACTCGCTTTTTGGCCTTGCGATAAATTTTCTTTCTTTTCTTCCCTCCTCTTCCTGTGCGCGGCATGGCCCGGGCGTGTCGGGGTGGGGAGAAGTAGCCAAGGTTGCGCTTTTTTTGCAGGAGGGCCGGGGTAGCAGCAGTAAGCAGCAGCTCACCATCGACCCGCAATGGTATCCCTTTTCCGGCTTCATAGAGCAACGGAAAGTCAAGTGTTGAGGGGGTTTATGGGGCCCAGGCAGAGGGCCGGTGGTCGTGAGGTGTCGTTAGTGACGGTGGTGATCAAAATCTAGAAAGCGCACTTTCACATGTTCTAAAACTATCCAAACGCCCCCTACTTGTTATTTGAAATATCTAGGGGGTGCAAGCCACATCAAGGCGAAGAGTGAGGCACCCCAAATTGTTAAAGCCGGAAAGACCGAGGATAAGGATACATCTTCAAACGACCGTCGTTGTCGTCATCGTCGTGCTGGTGGTAGTCGTAT